GTCGTGTGGGTCCTACTTATAGACAATGCGAACACTTTTATTTAAATAGCAATACCAGAGCCGCAGTCATCGATACCTCTTCTATCATTGTAAACGGCACTCAAATGTGGACAGTCCCTCAAACGGGCTACTATACGTGAGTTTATGTTCATTTATACACGTTTGTATTTGATATTTATTAATACAAAATAACTAGTCATTTATTTGCAAACTTTATAATATTTTTATTAATTTTAATATTAATATTTATAATTGATAAAATGAATAATTACTTTTCTATTAAAGCGTCTACAGAATTTTTTGAATTAAAGTATTATAGAATATACAGTAATTTGTTTAATTTAAATAAGTTGTTTAATTTATTAATTCATTTTGTTTTTATAAAATAAAATAAATTTGTTTAAGCTCTAAAGAATGAGATGCTTGTTTTTCTAAGAGTTAATTAATTACATTTTTATTATATTTGCTGTATACTACAGGTTTAGGTTATAAACGGTAGTGTTTTAATTAAGTAAGAATGTGTATTGATTTTAATTAATATTTAATTTTATGAACATTTGGTATTATTGTATATTGATACATTATACAATATTTATTTTTCTGTGTATTCTGTCTTACTATATTTTTATTTTTAATCACAAAAGCATGCATATGGTTTACCAAATCATTTCCATTATATTTGTTATAAAATGTTTTAAATTATTGATTTCTGTATTAAAGACGATTTTTATAATGATACCAATGTAAGGAGATTGCTTCTTATAAAATATAAATTTGCTACAATATATTATTCACTATTATGCTATTTTTAGTGCAAATAATTATTTAGAGATATCTCATACGTTATATTCTGTAATGAATTTTGTCATATTTTTACTCTACGGATATATTTGTTGATTAAATCTTTGGTTTTTGCAAGATTGATATTAGTTTTTATTTTAAGAATATGATATTATTTATATCCTTATAGTATAAGGCTTATTCTATATTTTTTACCTATAAAAATAGAAATGCACTCCAGAATATTCTACTGGCTTAATTTCAAGTGCTCTTATTATTTGAAGTATTTAATAATATATAAATAATAAAATTATTTTTTATTGAAGCATACTTTTTGGTAAATAATTTTACTATAATATAATAAATACAATATAAATATGGTAAAAAACATTTTAACATTATAGCTATTAAGATTATTGATCAGAATCTTTACTATTATTTGAACATGTGTAAGATTTACTTGTAATGATTTGATGTATAAGCAAAATCATCTACACTTAGAAATGGTGCTGACATATAAATGATTTATAACTGTTTAAAATCTTTTTCTTTCATAAGCTTTTCATATGAAAGTAAATTTACAAAATTTCAAAATAATAATTATTATTGACTTATGGATACTATATATTTATTAATTTTATGAAATTATATTTTAAATAGATTATAAAATATTGAGGTATAATAGATGATAACTTGTATGTCTAAATGAACACAATTTCTACTAGATTATTCGCGAGAGGTGCTAAGGGTGGACATGGATTAAATGTAAATAGCAGCGGAGGAAATGGTGCTTTAGTCCGATCTGTCTTTAAGTTTCAAGAGGGGGACACTATTTTTAGTATCATTGGACAGACCGGGTCTGATGCCTGTGGCAGAAGTGACTTAATCCCAAATGTAATTTAAAATTATTATACTCATTTTATTCTCTTATTTGATTATTTTATACTGAAAAGATACTGATGACAAATTTGCACTTTTAGTTAAAAAGTAAATGTTTGGCTAAAATTAGTCAAACAGCACACGATCCCGACATTAGGAAAAATGTGGCCGATATTAGGAATGAAATTAAAAATGTTGATCAAACTATAGGCGGTGCGGGTGGTGGTGGGGGCGGCACTTATGGTAAATAATTTTGAACTCATTTTGTGGAATAAGTATTAATATTGATATAATTTTATTTATAGTTTTTAAAATAGAAGATCAAAATTTGGTTCCACTTATAATAGCCGGTTTGTGTTACTTATTGACTTATTTTGATAATATTGTTTACCAAATAAAGTATAATCATTGAAATGAAATAATTGAATTCAGGGGGAGGCGGAGGAGGGGGCAGTTCCGATGGCCCATCGTTTTCACATTCAATTCAAGGTTGTTTTAATAATTTATATAAGTTATTACTATATATTAGACATAGTTATATATATATATATAGTTATTACTATATATAAGTTATTACTATTTAGACATTTAACAAACTCCATTTAGGTAGTTAGACATTTTTAACAACTAATCAATTATTTATTATAGTCATTTATTAATCATTTAAGAAGTTCACAAATTTCTATTTATTAATTATTCAATTTGTATTATCTAGTCATATACTGTACATTATATAAAAATTTACACATTAATACATAACTATTAAACATTACAATTAAATAAGATATTGTGTTTTTAAAATT